CAAAGTGATATTTGGGACAAGCTCTTCCCCCTTGGGTGCAGGACAACAAGGAGGACCTCTACTGCTGCCGTCCTTCCTGTAGTGAAGGCGGTGGTGACGAAGAGTAGTTTCCATCATTCTTGTTCTCTGATTTTCTATCAAATTTAAAACCTAACCTATAAACCCAACATAATTCAACACCCCTACAAGGTCATGTCAGGAAAGGTCAGCAAAGGTCAAAGATGTTGCTTAATGACCTTTATAATACATATATACTAACTTAATTACACATTTCCTATACTTGTTCAATACTTAAGAATATATAAATATTTTTTTGTCATATATGAAAATGATATACATATGTGTTTTAGGGTCAATATTTACAAATGGAATCAGAGCGATTATAAAGTAGATATATCTCACCATTCTGAGCAACTTTCATTCTATACACTTTCGTCGAAAATTAATAATAATGAACCTGATAGAACCTAACATATCCTAACCTAACCTAGCCAATCAAATAAACCTAACCTATCCTAACCAATTAAAGAAACCTAACCTATCCTAACCAATCAAAGAAACCTAACCTATCCTAACCAATCAAATAAACCTAACCTATCCTAACCAATTAAAGAAACCTAACCTATTCTTATCTTGAGTAATATAAGCATTATGTGGCCTTAAAAGGTTATTAACAATAAGAGATTCTTCCTTTCCTTCCTCTTCAATCTACATCACCAAACATCTCTTTACTTCATCTTCGCTGCCAAGAAACACACACACACACACACACACACACACACACTCTCTCTAGCACCCAAAATAGATCTTGTTCAAGTGCATTGGTACGGCAGCTGGTGTGGGCGTGTCAGTGGGTGGGTGATGATGGGTGGTGGTGAGGGCGTTGTATAGTGGAGTGAGTGGTAGGGAGGAAGCAGGGTATGGGTGGTGAGGGTGTGGGTGGTGAGGGGTGATGATGGATGGTGATGGGTGGTGATGGTGTGGGGGTGTGGGTGGTGGTGAGGGTGTGGGGTGAGGGGTGTGGGGTGTGGGTGGTGAGGTGATGGGTGGTGATGGTGTGGGGTGTGGGGGGTGGTGGTGGTGTGGGGTGTGGGGTGAGGGTGTGGGGTGTGGGTGGTGGTGGGGTGTGGGGTGGTGGTGTGGGTGTGGAGGGCGGGGGGGGTGATGGGTGGTGAGGGTGCGGGGTGAAGGGTGGTGATGGATGGTGATGGATGGTAATGGGTGGTGAGGTGTAGGTGGTGATGGGTTTAGAGGGTGGTGAGGGTGTAGGGGTGTGGGTGGTGATGGGGTTGATGGGTGGTGATGGGTGTGGGGTGGGAGGTGTGGGTGGTGATGGGTGGTGATGGGTGTAGGTGGTGAGGGTGGTCATGGGTGGTGAGGGTATGGGTGGTGGGGTGATGGTATGGTGGTGAGGGTGTGGGTGGTGATGGGTTTAGAGGTATGGGTGGTGATATGGTGGGGTGTAGGTGGTGATGGGTGGTGGGGTGTAGGTGGGTGGGTGGTGAGGGTGGTGAGGGTATGGGTGGTGATAGGTGGTGATGGTATGGGTGGTGGTGTGGGTGTGGGTGGTGATGGGTGGTGGGGGTATGGGTGGTGATGGGTGGTGATGGGTGATGGGTGGTGATGGGTGGTGAGGGTGGTGAGGTGGTGTTGGTGGTGAGGGTGTGGGGGTGATGGGTGGTGAGGGGTGTGGGTGGTGATGGGTAGTGGATGGTGGTGGGTGGTGTGGGTGTGGTGGGTGGTGATGGTGATGGGTATGGGTGGTGATGGGTGGTGGGGGTAGGTGGTGATAGGGTGGTGATGGATGGTGGGGTGGTGGAGATGGTGGTGATGGTATGGGTGGTGATGGGTGAGATGGGGTGGTGGGGTGTGGGTGGTGATGGTGGTGATGGGGGAGGGTGTGGGTGGTGATGGGTGGTGAGGGTGTGGGTGGATGGGTGGTGATGGGTGGTGGGAGGGGTGATGGTTGCCTTATATGTATACCTCACATGTGTGTCTACACCACACTACAGTATATAAACAATACATATAGTGTGTAGTATGAATAGTGTATCTGTAGATGACCGTACACCCTCCTGTCGGGTGGTCGTGGTGGGTGGTGGTGGTGGTGGGTGGTGGTGGTGTGGGTGGTGGTGGGTGGTGGGTGGTTGTGGGTGATAGTTGTTGTTGGTGGTGGTAGGTTAGTGTGAAGGAAGGATTGATCGTGGTTGTGGAGGAAGAGGAGGAGGAGGAAGGAGGTGGTGGTAAAAACAACAACAACAACAACAACAACAATACAAACACGACATCATTACAAGAGTGAAGAGATAAGTTTTTTTTTTTCACCCCAGGACGAAGGTTAACAATAGAGAGCCTCGTCTTGGCCCCCAGCGACCACCTGTCCAGAACCAACTAGGAGAAAAATATAAGAATGGCTTTGAGGAAAGAGAGGGGGTACTAAAAAAGGTAGATATTGATTTTCTGGAGATTATTATTCATCTCTTATGATCTAAAACAAAACTCCTGTTACAGATTACAGCAACAACGACACTGTACTTGACCACCATCACTTGCCCTAACTGTAACGTCAGCGACCAATTTTTATGGTGGTAATATTTAACAGACAGACTATTAATTTTTACGTACGAGTGAGTTTTAGTGGCGGTCATAAATACTTTGAAGAAAATCCTAACTTTTAGTTTTTTTGTCATCGATATTTATGTGTTTTTGTAAAATTTCGGGGGAAAGAGTTGGATAAAATACGGGTAATAATTCTAAAACGGATACAACATATCTGTTATATTGTGTTATACAGAGATTTGTTCTGTATATATATAAATTTATGTTACCTGTAAATCACTGACGTACAGGAAAATTAGTGTTACCTGTAAATCACTGACGTACAGGTAAATTAGTGTTACCTGTAAATCACTGACGTACAGGTGAATTAGTGTTACCTGTAAATCACTGACGTACAGGTGAATTAGTGTTACCTGTAAATCACTGACGTACAGGTAAATTAGTGTTACCTGTAAATCACTGACGTACAGGTAAATTAGTGTTACCTGTAAATCACTGACGTACAGGTAAATTAGTGTTACCTGTAAATCACTGACGTACAGGTAAATTAATGTTACCTGTAAATCACTGACGTACAGGTAAATTAGTGTTACCTGTAAATCACTGACGTACAGGTAAATTAATGTTACCTGTAAATCACTGACGTACAGGTAAATTAATGTTACCTGTAAATCACTGACGTACAGGTAAATTCAAATTATATGCTAAAAATATAACATTAAAACCATCACAACAGTTGTAGCTTAAGTTGTTAAAAAGTACTAATAATCACACGACCACAACACCAAGCTTATATAGACATGAAGTTAAGATAAGAAGAAAAATGAAACTGGCAGGTAGCGAGAAAACACACGCAGCACACCGGCGAACAAATGAACGCTTGAGCTGGCGAACAGAAGCGGCAGCAAAACTCTTCCATCAGCCAAACCAACACGAACAGGTAAATGAAAAGCCCCCCCAAAAAATAATAATAATGATAAATAATAATAATGATAAATATAAAAAAATCGTAAACATCTGATCGACCAATAAAACGAACTGGTTAATTTAATTGGCTCTTTGTGCCTCTGGGATACAGTATACAGGGTGGTGCATAAGTGACACTATACCCAGAATAATGGTAAAGCTACTTATGCACCACCCTGTATAAGTTACCGGGCTGGAGGGGGGGGGGCTATTTGCGTATACAGGGTCATTGAAATACACACACACACAGATTTCTAATGGCGTATAGAACAGAAATCTGCGTATTTTTTCAATCAACAACCCTCTCTCTCTATATATATACTTATACATAATACATATAAGCATTTTTATATGTATCTAGTATACATATGTACGTGAGCAACCAATATATGTAAAAATGATCACATATTTCGGGCGTCATAACAAAAAAAATAATAATAATATTTTCTGACATTACAAGAACAAGCTTCTGTTAATGGCGCTGAGAAATATGAAGACATGAAATAGTTTATGATAAATATAACACGTAAAGTAACAACACACTCCACTGTTACAGGCTCTATACTGAAGCTATGATGTGGTTGTGAGTGGGGGTGTGGTTGTGAGTGGGGGTGTGGTTGTGGGAGTGGGGTGTGGCTGGGGAGTGGGGGTGTGGCTGTGAGTGGGGGTGTGGCTGTGGGACAGGGTGTGGCTGTGGGAGGGGGGGTGTGGTCAGGAGGGGGGGTGTGGCTGTGAGTGGGGTGTGGCTGTGAGGGGGGGTGCATTGTGAGTGGGGTGTGGTTGTGAGTGTGGGGGGGGTGTGGCTGTGAGTGGGGGTGTGGCTGCCAGGAGGGGGGGTGTGGTCAGAGGGGGGGTGTGGGAGCAGAGAGTAGGGGGTGTCAGGAGTGGGGGGGGTGGCTGTGAGTGGGGGGTGTGGCTGTGAGTGTGTGTGGCTGTGGGAGGGGGTGTGGCTGTGAGTGGGGGGTGTGGCTGTGAGGGGGGGTGGCTGTGAGTGGGGGGGGGTGTGGCTGTAAGTGGGGGGTGTGGTCAGGAGTGGGGGTGTGGTTGTGAGTGGGGGTGTGGTTGTGTATTATCGTTGTGAGAGAGAGAGACTGTGGTAAGTGCATTGTGGGTAATAACAACACACATGGCATTAGTGACGTATACAGAACAAATATTAGTGTGTGTAAGAGTGTGTCATATGATTGGTTGATGGGTACAGTACTTCAGACATAGCGTGACCAATTAGCGTGAAGCTATGTATGTGTATGTGTGTGTGTACGTGGCGTGTCTGTGCTTTTTGCGAGCGTGTCCTGCGGTGTGGTGCGGTGCGGACGTACGGACGGGCGTTATGAGGGCGAAGGTAAGTAATGTGTGCGTGGCGGTGGTACAGTGACGTAGCGACAGCAGTGAGGGGGTAGCAGTTTCATCACCATGGCAGCAGTACAACGAGGGCACGACAGCCAGACGATGGAGTCAAACAAAAGAGAGGTTACCGTAAAACAGCGGGCCAGTTCCGAGGCCAGAGTGGGCGCCCCTCCACGGTGGGTGCGCGAGGGCATTACCTCCACTTGCTGGTTTATGTCCTTCTCCGAGGTCATCTTGGCAGCTCGGGGGGGAGAGAAGGGGGGTCGGGTACTCGGAGGTCTTTTAGAGGTACTTCAACACCCCTAGGAGTACCTCAACACCCCTAGGAGTACCTTAACACCCCTAGGAGTATCTCAACACCCCCAGGAGTACCTCAACACCCCCAGGAGGGCACGACAAGTACCCTGGGAGGTATCAGACCGCACGAAGCACTGGACAAAGAAGAAAGACGTTATTTGATCCGTCAGTTGATATATCTTCCGGGGCACTAAACACACACACACACACACACACACACACACAGCACTGGTGTTTGTTTTCTTAAGTGTTTCAAGGTGTGTGGCGGTCAACAGAGAACAATCGAGGTGTTTTTTTTTTCCTATTTTTCAAGAGTCCAGTTCTTGTGTGGTGAAGGTGTGGTGAGCGTGGTTGGGTAGGTAGCTGTTGATGTGGTTGGGTGAGTCAGCGAGAACGTAGTGGTGACTCACTCCAGGCGGTGGTGAGCAAGAGGGAGTGGCGGAGGTGTTGTGCTGGTGGTGGTGCTGGTGGTGGTGATCGCCTGACAGTAAGAGAGGCCACTTGTTGAGTCGGGAGGGTTAGCCTGCTCCCACACACACACACACACACACACACACACTCACGCACACACTCAGATATACACACACTCACGCATACACTACACGACCGCCTTTGTGCTAATCCTCCTTCCCCCTGCGGTAAAAATCACACACACATGCACTTCCACACACATACACAAACACACTCACCATGTAAAAGCAAACTTGTGCTTGGGTGTTTTTATATATGAACGTGTGTGTGTGTGTGTGTGTGTGTGTGTGTGTGTCCTCCGCTTTATAAGGATAACAAGTGAAGATCTACTGTACACATCTCACCATACACACACACACACACACACACACACACACACACACACACGCACACACACACACACACACACCCTTCCAGTGTTTGGTAAATGTTCTCAGAAATACTGTAGTTCATTTTTAGGAATGTTCTACCTGATATAACTAATTAGCTTCAGGTAATAGAGGAAATAATGTTACTTTTGGTATTTCAATTGATTTTTTTATTAGCTGTTACACTAAAAATCTTTATTCTGCTAATATGTCAAAATATCTCAATTACTTACGATATTTTTGTTCTTTTATAGTAAATTCATAAATTACCTCAGGGGAGCTTTTAATCCCACTGTTTGTATCATGAACTGCAATTAAGTGTTCAGGTGGGGTCATTAAAGTGTTCAGGTAAATAAAGTGTTCAGGTAAATAAAAGTGTTCAGGTGGGGTCATTAAAGTTCAGGTGGCTAAAGTGTCTGTAAAACAAGTGTTCAGGTCATTAAAGTGTTCAGGTCATTAAAGTGTTCAGGTAAATACAGTGTCATTAAAGTGTTCAGGTGGGGGTCATTAAAGTGTTCAGGGGTCAAAGTGTTCAGGGCATGTAACCTAGGTGGCAAAGTATCCCTAGGTTTATTCTGAATAACGCAAGATGATTTATTCAAGTAAAGGGAACCGCTGCCCGCATTAAGTGTTCAGGTGAGGACATCAAAGTGATCAGTTATTTTCAAGCTGTTTTTGTAAGAGGCGCAGTCACGTGAGGAGGAGGAGGTGGAGGAGGGGAAGGAATGGGGGAGGGGGGGAAGAGGATTTGTTGACGTGCGTTGAGGGGGAGGTGAAGGAAACACCAATTTGCACGCACACGTAGGTAGGGGAAGGAGGAAGCCTAGAGAGGGGAGGAGTTTGAAGCCTAGGAAGGGTAGAGAGGGGTTTGAAGCCAAGGGGGGGGGCCAAGGGGTGAGGCCTAAGGAAGGGGGACAAGGTTTGAAGCCCAAGGGAAGGGGGGCCAAGGGGTAAGCCTAAGGGAAGGGGTAGAGGGGGTTTAAAGCCTGAGGAAAGGGAGAGAGAGGGTTTGAAGCCTGGGGAAAGGGAGAGAGAGGGTTTGAAGCCTGGGGCAAGAGGACAACAATATCACTCAGACCCTTAAACACTTTCTAATACTTTCAAAAAAACGAACCAACGCCTTATTGTTTTTTCTAATCGTCTTTTACACAGATTCTTCCTTTTTCTTCTTCCTCTTCTCCTCTTCTTCTCCTCCGCCTCCTCTCTTTGTCTCCCCGATCCTCTGTATATAATCAAGTGATATTGGGTTGGTGTGTGGCAGTGAGTAGCTCAGCAGGAGGGAGGTGCACACACACACACACACACACACACACACACACACACACACACACACACACACACACACACACACACACACACACACACACACACACACCTGAATGTGTCTGAGTCCAACAGGGTTCTCACACACACACACACACACACACACGTCTTAATATCTATACAAGTAAATAATATTACCTCAGATAGTTTCCCTCTCTCTTAACTTCTTCACTACACACTTTTCTGATCACTGTCGCACCATAGCGGAGTTTGGGGATGAAAATAGTGACTTAATAGTGAATTATAATAGGTCGTCTTGTGGCTCGGGTTAATAGTTCGACGTGAGTGTGTGGGGAGGTTTGAGCGAGTCCACGACGCACTTTAGTGTGTGTGAGTGACGGGGTGAGGAAGGTGTTTTGACACAGTGTGGTGGTGCGTAGCGTCACTCAGAGGGAGTGTCCGGGCCCCGCGTGTCGACAGAGAGGCAGCCGCGGCGTCACTGCCTGGGCCACAGCCACTCACGGGAGGAAGAGGAGGAGGAAGAGGAGGAGGAGGAGGTAGAGGGGAGGAGCAGAGGGTGACGGGTAGCGCAGCCTCCCTTTCATCTCTTCTTCCCTCCCTCCCCTTCCTCTTGGTTGGCTAGCTGGCGGGGATAGTCTCCCTGTATTTCTTTTTTTTCTTCCTCTCTACTCTCTGTCTCTCTCTCTCTCACCTCTATCTTTCTATTACTTTTCCCTCCCAGACTTCACTTTCCCACCATCTCTCTCTTCTTCACTCTCTCCTCCTGTTGCCCCCCACCCCCGTTATTGGTGTCTGCTGTTGCTGCTGTCAGATGCTGCTGGCGTTTGGTGTCTTTCTTGCTCTGAGACCGGAGCCTATTTTCTGCTCCTTCTGTTGTTGTCTGCTGCTGTAACCTGTTTGTCCTGCTGTTGTCTGCTGCTGTAACCTTTGTGTGCTGTTGTTGTCTGCTGCTGTAGCCTGTTTCTCCTGCTGTTGTCTGCTGCTGTAACATCTGTCTGCTGTTGCTGTAACCTGTTTCCTGCTGTTGTCTGCTGCTGTAACATCTGTCTGCTGTTGGTGTCTGCTGCTGTAACCCTGTCTGCTGCTGTAACCTTCAGTTGCTGCTGCAACATCTGTCTGCTGTTGCTGTAACCTGCTTCCTGCTGTTGTCGCCGCTGTAACATCTGTCTGCTGTTGGTGTGCTGCTGTAACCTCTGTCTGCTGCTGTAACCCTTCGCTGCTGCAACATCTGTCTGCTGTGCTGTCTGCTGCTGTAACCTCTGTCTGCTGTTGCTGTCTGCTGCTGTAACCCTCTGTTCGCTGCTGCAACATCTGTCTGCTGTTGCTGTCTGCTGCTGTTTGTTGTTGTCATTGGTCTCCGTGTTAATGGTAACTGCCAAAGTTGTTCTTCTTAGATATAATATAGCTGGTGAGGGGTGAGAGGGTGAGAGGGTGAGAGTGGGAAGGCGGGTGAGAGGGGTGAGAGGGAAGGCGGGTAAGAGGGGGGGGAGGAGTACAAAGGTTTGTGTGTGTGACAGTTCTGCTGATGATGTCTGGGAGAGCGGAAGAGAGAGGGAGAGAGGGTGAGGGAGAGGGTGGGGGGAGAGGGGAGGGGTGGGAGAGGGGAGAGAGGGTGGAGGGAGAGGGTGGGGGGAGAGGGAGAGTATGTGGAGAGAGGGAGAGGGGTGAGGGAGAGGGGGGGAGAGAGGAGAGGGGTGTGAGAGGGAGAGAGGGTGAGGGAGAGAGGGGGGAGAGGAGAGGGGGGGAGAGGGGAGAGAGGGTGAGGGGAGAGAGTGGGGGAGAGGAGAGTGGGTGTGAGAGGGAGAGAGGGTGGGGAGGGGAGAGGGTGGGGGGAGAGGAGAGGGGTGTGGGAGAGGGAGAGGGTGGGGAGGGGAGAGGGTGGGGAGAGGAGAGGGTGTGTGAGAGGGAGAGAGGTGAGGGGAGAGGGTGGGGGAGAGGAGAGTGGGTGAGAGGGAGAGAGGTGAGGAGAGAGGGGGAGAGGGGTGTGGAGAGGGAGAGAGGGTGAGGGAGAGTGGGGAGAGGAGAGGGGGAGGAGGGGGAGGAGAGGGTGGGGAGAGTGAGTGGGTGAGAGGCCTGAATGGTGACGTTAAATGGAAAAGTGATGGAGGAAGATAAGGAAAGTGGGAGAGTGAGATAGTGGGATTAGAGAGAGAGAGAGAGGAGAGAGAGAGAGAGAGAGCTGGGAAGGAGAGGAGAAGGAAGTGAGAAGGATAGGAGGGTTTGAGAAGGGAGGAAGAAAGAGGAGATGAGGTGGGGAGGAGCTAAGAAAGAATTGTGGGGTGATGGGGTAGAGGGAGTGGGGAGGAGTTGAGTAGATAAGGAAGTTGGATGGCGTGGGGGAGGAGGTGGGGAGGGCGTGGCCAATTATGCAAATGAAGCCATGATGTAGATACACTTTAACAGTTTTTGTCTCTCTCTCTCTCTCTCTCTCTTCTCTTCTTCTGTCTCTCTCTCTCTCTTCTCTCTCTCTCTCTCTCTCTCTCTCACCAGCTGCAGAATTATGAGGGTTTTCATTGGTGATAAACAGACAAAATGTACCGAGTTTATACATAGAGGAGGGAGGGAGGGAGGAGGAAACGAATGAATGAATTGTGTTAGTATGGAGGAAGGTGACAGGCTGACAGTATGAGGTGAGGAGGGAGGGAAGGAGAAGAGAGAGAGAGAGAGAGAGAGAGAGAGAGAGAGAGAGAGAGAGAGAGAGAGAGAAAAAAAAAAGAGAGAGAGAGAGAGAGAGAGAGAGAGGATAAGTAAAGAGGACCAGATTTAGGTCAGGTCACTATGGGTCAGACAGTATTAACGAGAGGTCAGTCACTACTGCCAGGTGAATGCAGGTTAATGGGGGAGGGAGGAGGGTGGTTTACCCTCAATTAAAAAACGTTAATTGCTATAAAACGTGATAAATCCCTCTCTCCCCATCCTCTTTTTCTCCCTCTCTGTATATTTATCCGACTCTCTCTCTCTCTCTTATCGCATTTTCTCTCTACATATCTCTTAATTCTCTCTACACCTCCAGCTCTCTGTCTCTCAACTTAAACGTCACCAAGTATCTCACACAAGTTCTCCCAAATGAGAGAGAGAGAGAGAGAGAGAGAGAGAGAAGACCCCACCCATCACCTCTGACACACTCTAAAGTACTGTACTCTGAGACATAAAAACAAAATATATCACGCAAAAAACCCACAGAAAAAACAGAAACAAAACACAAAAACCCAAGAGCCATAAACACCGTAGTCGTTATGGAAACAAATCGGAGCCATTAAATGTCATGCAAATGGCTCCGATAAACACGAAAGATTCAGACTCCATAACACATAAGCCATTTAAATGACTTTGGAGCCATAAAGAGATGTATTGTATATTAGATCCTGATTTGAGCCATTTACACGTGGGACAGAAATTACCTGTGGGTTTAATAATTAACTTTGATGGATCAATATTACCTTAGGGTTAGCGAACCTGTGTCTAGGGTATATATTTCAACGATGATTGGTCCTTTACACGGGGAATTTGACCAATCGTTTCTCGGGAAGGTTAATGACGTCTTCTTATTGGCTGTTACACGGAGGCGATGTATTAGTGACTGATATGAAGTTCTGTATGGATTATGGACAGGCATCTCTCTCTCTCTCTCTCTCTCTCCTGCATTACTCACACACACACTTCAAGAAAATAGCCAATTACCCTGACTCCACTTTTATCAGTCTCTTTCTTTACCTTCATTCGTGTATACAAATCATCATATTTTCTCTCTATCACACACACACACACACACACACACACCCATCATGTGTGTGTGTTTATGTGTGTGTGTGTGTGTGTGTGTACGTATATGCGCTTGCGTGTGTTTGTTTACGTGTTTATTTACCTGTGTGTTTATTTCGTTGTTGTTTACCTGAGCACTAACACGAAGCCTCAACACAGGTCATCTAATCAACTCCAACACCCGCAATGACCTGCCCGCGTGTCAGTCTTCCTCTGTTACCCTAATACTGACTTAACACGGCTGTAGTAGGGCATATGGGTCCCTTAATTCTAATGGGCCCTAAGCTGTACAGACCCT